TTTGAGCGATCCTTAAAATCTGAAACCATTCAGATTTTTTAATTTTTGTCCCGCCATTTTTTTTAAACATGTAACTATACTTCTAAATTTTAAACTACTTACGTTTTACAGAGCGTTGGCTATTAAGGGATTCCGAAGCTCAAGATGCGCAGTAGGCGGAAAAACATAAATCATATGTGTCCACGTTATATCGCAGTGGCATGGGGAAGACTCTAATAAAAGTTATCATATAATACATCACTAATAAACTTTTGCTTAAGTAACTGAAAATGCTTGATTTTTTAAGTCAACGATTGTCTTAACTTTGCTTCATTATTTGCCGTTAAGCGGGGCTCTAGGTCATCAGGATTTTACTGCAAATTATTTTTTAAATGGAGCAACCGTTGCTGCTTTCGTGTTTTATATAATGCCCAAAGGATTTTTCTTGCATTTGCTTACACATATACGTTTTCAGAGCATTTGGGCTATTATCACTTTGAGTTAAAAATATTAAAAATAGGATATCTTTAAAATTTCCGATAAACAGTCTCGCGCGCTAAAGATCAATTTTTTTTTTTTTTTTTCCCGGGCAGTGTTGCCATTGTTCGCTTTGCAAGCTTTGAGATTGTTAATAAAAATCTCGTTAAAGTTGTACAAAATATGAAATGAACAATAAATCATGTTCCAAATTCGGGCTTCGTAGGTGACCACATTCGGGTGAAGGACTACGTTATTTAAAATTTGATGGTTCTAGGTACCTTTGTTTTTTCACAGTGCTCACATTCATGCAGATTCTTCATTATTTAATTTCTTTAAATATAATACAGGGCGATAATATTTGGTTGCAACAATTTGAAAAGCGAAACGGACATTCATAATGAATCGACACAAATGATGTTTTGAAAATAATAGCCTTTCTGGACTAAGCTCCTTTGAGCAAATAATAATAATAATAATAATAATAATAAACAAGGTTAGATTATTGAGAACTTCATAAATTGCCTTCAGAATGAATACTAGAGTCTAGTCATCTGCGATAATTAATCACTAATATAAAATCATTTACCTGTGTGTAAATCATATTGCAAGCCCGATCGTCTGCGATAAAACCCTTAGACGATTTACCGGTTTTCGACTGTATTTCGACTGTATTGGTGGGGGTTTTTCGATGGAAAGTACTGGCTCCTTAATTTGTGGATGCATAAATTAACGTGATTTAAAATCTATGTAAAACTTTATTTACGAGTTGAAATTCTACACATGAAAATGTGTCAAACCGTCTGGAATTTTTCGCAATGAAAGTTATTCCTAAAAATTAAATGAGGTGTATTGAGATGCAAAGCTCATAAGATTCCGCACTGGATAATTTAGTTAAAGCAGAACACACGAGGGTGTGCCCTAAAGGAGGAATAAAAAACAAAGGCAAACTGGAGTTTATGTGTTAGAGAGGGAAAACTGCGAAAATGTCCTTGCAAAAAGGTGCGTTTACCTAGACTTCAAAGTGATTCGAACTACCAGACGAAGCTCGAGAGAAATGCAAGTTAGTCCTGGTGGAAAGAGAAGGATGATAAAAAATTATACATGTTGTTGCAGATGCATGACAGAATCTCATACAATTAAACAAAGGTGACGGTGATTGATGAAAGATTACATTACGTGAAAATAACCATAAAAAATCCTTATTAAAACGTCTGAAAGAATTTAAGGAATTTGTACCTCTCCTAATGCGTGCGTCCCTTCGTGATATAAATGAAAGCACGCCCGGGGTAGCAAGGAATGTTCGGATTTCAAATTCCGGTAAGGAAAACGCAGATTATTTATACTTCCGTCTTAAACAACTATAATATGTTCTACAAGTGGCGCCCGAACTAAAATATGGTTTACGAAAATTTGTCGCCATCTGGACTTCGTGACTCCCAATTCGGCAGTGGAGCAGAATATATTTAAGGATGTACGCTGTAAGGAATCTTTTTTTCCTTACAGCGTACATCTTTGATGTAATTGGAAGCACATGCAGAAATCAATCGAGAGGTCCCGGTGTTCGAATCTCGTATTGATGATTTTTGGTACTCTCTATGTTATTTTGATTTCTCACTTATCTGACAGTAACAATCCTTGTAGCACAAAATTCTTTGTAGTAAGGTGTACAAGACTGCGCCTATCGTTCGCAAGCGCCTTGCATACTGTGAGAGTACGACTTTGCTTTGCATAACCTTGCGTCTGTAACGTGTATACGAGCCAGTTTCCCTTAGAAAGTTCTCCACGAAGGCATTCCTCCCCTTAGGCAGATAACACTAGTGTGCTTTGCCATATTCTCAATACACCATTGCACAACCTTGCTCAGTTCCGTCCCCAATTCTGATGGACAACAGCCCGGGAGGACGTCCAACAGTCCAAGAATCCCCCACGTCTGTTCCCCTACCATCGGGGCCTATAGAGAGGACTTTCGGCTTGCCGTATATTTAGAGAGCCCCCTTGCCACGTAGACACTATTGCATTTACAATCACCCATGACTTCTCCAGGATACGAACCTGTGCCCTTCGTAATGGCAGTCAACGTCGCTAACCATAATCCCGTTTCTGCAGCATATTTCCTATTCGGAAATAAACCTAAATGGCTCTACAGCAAATTGTGTTCCTAAAAGCGGCCAAAATTCATCCAGAGATCTGTCAATGAATTCTACTCATAAGTTGTTTACAGTTCTCGAAATTATGGATGTAGATGCAGTAAGATTTTAAAATAGTTCAAGAGAAGATTGCTGTTACCTTTGTAAGAATTACACGTCTAACAATTGTTTCAGACAAACATATTGCCTGAACGCTACTGTAATTTAATAAATACAATAAAACGAAACGATGCTGAATAATTAAATTTTAAATTTAAAAGAATAAGGATAATGGAATGTCCTGAATGAGTGCATTGAATCCCATGAACCCCCACTCGAGAAAAGCCGAGTAAGAATGACTCGGCAATATCGGAAAAATTCCTACTCGATTTCAGCAACAGACAGTAATATTTGCTTTAAGTAAGTACAAGAACAACCTTGCAAAATGTTAAATCCTCTACGAGCGGAGTAAACTAGCAACGGTTTTGACAACGGCTTCAGGAACAGCCTTACAATGTTAAGCCTACTTCGAAGATAAATTAGGAAATGCATCATTTGTCCCAAAACGACAGAGGGCTGAACCATGGAGACAGAATCGAACTGGATTTATGTTTAGAACTGCCTGCAGTATATTGGAATACTCATAGGAGCACAACGTATTTCATTCCTAGTAACGCAGTATCTCCGAAGTAAAAGGCTCCAGAAAGTTCTTTTGAATCCCAATAGATGCTAATAATTAATCGGTATTATATTTTGCTTAACGGGCGTCAAAGAAAATTTATTTCGTTACCATATTACTACCAGTAATATACTACCTTGTTTGGTAATAATTTAGACCAAGCGTATCCTTAATCTACTAAGTCTACAAAATAGCTCTTTGTAGCCAAATATAGAAGGTGACTGAAATTTGCGAAAATATTCAAAGTTCCTTTCACAAGAATATTCCCACCATTTATGAGAATAATATTCATACATAGAAACTATAAATTAAGATTAATATACAAAGATATATTTTACAAACTAATTATATGTATAACCACGGCATTTTAGCAAATATTAATATGCGTATCCATATAATTAACATTAATTTATTGCATAATTAATGTACAATATTTGGTGAGTAGGCATATTTACTACTTCTCTCTGGCGTCAGAATAAAAGATAATTTCCTCAATTTGCATTCTTATGACTTCAGTCACGAAGACATTCATTTCAATTCAAACAACTTCTTTTCATGGTTTTGTCGTAAAATATTACTTCAAGACTAATACTGTCAAATCAATTCGTATTTCAAGAGAATATAGTGTTATAGAAATTGCAGTTTACAACCATTTGCCAACTTTAAAAAACTACATTATCGTAAATAAATTGTAAAATTGCCACCCAAACGTGATAGTAGTTACCAACGCTGACTGCCCTGCCGAAGGGCCCGGTTCGAAGAAGAATTGTGTTTGTAAATATACAGTGTCTGTGAGGCATGGAGACACTCTAACGACGCTCTTGGGAATGTTCATACATTCATGCAGATTCTTCATTACTTAGTTTCCTTAAATATAATGCGAAGTTCTAATATTTGGTGGCAACAATTTGAAAAATGATAAAAGCCCTTTATAGTGAACCAACGCAAAATGCCAAAACGAAATCAATAGCCATTCTGGGCAAATAGTCCCTTTGGTCTAAAAAAATGTTTTTATTCTACAGTATGTATCCATATGCTTCATATATTAGTCTAAATGTTTATTTGTGCTTGAGCATTAAATAAATTTTACTAACCTGTTTTATCAAGTTAATAAATAATAAATTTAAATTTATAAATCAAACTAAGAAAAATTAATCGTGTATCTCTTATTTTATATTAATCAAAAGTACCTTTCTCAGGTTTCATAAATCCTTTATATTATCATTAAATTCTTTTGAAGCATAAGATGTGCAAAATGTTCAATGTCCTCGTCGGGACCCGAACCTGGACCTTTCGAATATGCGCGAGTGTGCTACCCTGAAGGCTTGCTTGACCCAATCGCCAAATCCTGGTGACAAAAAGTTATTTTTCACCATCTTTTAAATCGAGAGACATTGCAGGGCCATTAGGATTATCGATGAAGAAGACGTGAAAATTCTGCATTGCGCTCGCCGTGACTCGAACCCTGAACCTCTCGAATACGAGTCGAGTATGCTTTACAGTTACACCACCAAGGCATGCTGGAAGGAGGGGGGGGAATGCGTTGTACCTTAACTGATGTAACAGCGGAATGACAACATAGAATTTTAACACTGCTTTAAAATTTTTGTATAAACATCTACCTTTTTTATGCAATGAACAATCACTTCAATTGAAATGTAGATAAATTTGTTTATAGGACTCGGTTATAAGATCTGATTTCAATTTAATACCCTTTTTCTTCTTTCTAATCACAGAAAGACCTGTCATCAATCCCTTCATTTTCGGAGATGAACTAAAGGAAGGCATGCGAGCAATGGTCGTCTGCACTGTCCTTGCAGGAGAATCTCCAATTAATATTCTCTGGTTGAAAGACTCAGTTCCATTTCTTCATTCGGAACACCGAGATGGAATACATGTAACAAACTTGGGAGAATTTGCTTCCTCGCTCACAATCCCTTCCGTGTCCCGATATCATGCTGGGAATTACACATGCCTTGTCGCGTCCGGTGCTGCCCAAACATCATACACTGCAGTTATGACAGTGAAAGGTAAGTGGATTAATATTTTCTGAATTCAGACTAATGATTTGTCTCATTGCAATATTTGTCACTTATTGCAACAGATTTTCCCTAATTATGGAAAATTTTAAAAAATATCTGTCAAAGCGTATCAAGGTACCACGAAGTGATAGTCAAACCTAAATGTTTTAAATATTTTTACTTGATTTAAGTCATCGCTGAAAGTGAAATATCGTAATAAAATAAATCAGCAAATTTTTGTTGAATTATCTTGATTCTAATTACATGAATGCGTCATATGTTTCGTCATTAAAGCTTTTAATTATGCTGCTTTAAATTCATGTGGACTTCGCATAATATTTTCTATTGCTGAGTGGTTTTATTAATGTCTACTTTATTTGCTAATTTTTAATTAATACTCGCTGGTCGCTGACTCCCAGGGCAAGTTGAACTTTGACTTCATTTTTAAGTGTAATTATAAAGAAGAACTAAGAGTATAGAAAGGAGTTTATATATTTTTTTTTTTATTATTATTTTTTTTTTTTTTATTTTTTTTTTTTTATTATTATTTTTTATTTTTTAATACGACATGAACAATGTTATTTTTCTCAACCAGTAACCTCCTCAGCGACCACAGTAAAAGGTTCTTTAAGCAAATTAGGCATGACATTTTGTAACTTATTAGTATTGGTTTATTAGCATGTTTTTCTGGGCTTTAGATCAGCACATTTTGTATGGTACATTCTACATTTATTTAGTTATTTATTTATTTTTGCAACATAAGAATAAATTTGCCAATGAGTTCAATTTTTCTTACATTGATGATCGTAAGTATGTTTTTGTAAGCTTTAGTTTACTAAAGCTTCTCTCCGCAGTGGACCATAGTAAAAGGTACTGTAAACAGATTGGGCATGACATCTTGTAACTTATTAGTGTTTATGAACCTAGTGGTTTCTATTCGGAGCTTTATATCTTCAGGAAATAACTCTTTGGCTATATCAAGTTCATTCATGTGATTACATTCATTAATATTATTATTTTCCTTGTACTTGACCTTACCTCAATGTTCAACCCTTGAATTTATGTTTACCTACCTGATCTTTAATGTCATGTAAAAATCTTCATGCGCTATTGAAACTTCGTAATTTTTCAGACCTCTCTGATAAAGAATGAATATCTCTCCAGTGAATATATAATTCTTTCTGGGTCATATGCATTTGGAATTTCTCCAGTGTACTCATATTTAAACAGCCTCTCTCATTTTTTTTTTATTGTTTTACTCCTAAAATGTGCTATACACCTAGTACTCTATCTAATTAAATTGTCATATTCGTTTGCATCATAATCATTTAAGTAACCAATATCAGTTAGATTTGTATTATAAGGGTCTTTGTTTGGTTTCGCACTGGCAAATCGGACGCATGCATTTCTGAAACTTCATAAAGAGCTTCCCGATTTCCATGGATTACATTTTTAATGGCTTTGACATATTTATGCTGCACTCTCGTCTAGTTACGATCAGGCACATAATGCGTTTTTTCAGTGCAAGGCATCGCTAAGGAGAGCTAGAAAAGGAAACATAGATGCGCTGCACAGTATGAAAAAGAAAATTAGAAGATTCCAGGCAACGTGTTGTGCTGCCATTAACCACTCACTTCACTATCTGAATCGGTACATCACAGATAACTTCCAAGAGAAAGGCCTGTGGCCTACGGGTCTCTCCGTATGTGGAGAAAGGGATGAGCCTGATCATAAAAATTTTTATTGTGATTTGACAGAGGATAAACATCTGCTAAAGCCTGGCGATAACTTAATGCTCTTTAGAAAATAGAAGACTAGACATCTTAAAAGAATAGACGTCTTAGGGTTAAGATCAGTCTGCACTTCAACATATCCAGGGACTCGGTATGGATAATTGTCAAGTCTAACGTCACTGCATCTTTATAATTTTGTTAAAATGTATAAATATTACATTGATAATGTAATGTCTCAATAATTCCACTTTTTATTTCTAAGATGTAATTGACTACAATTTGTCACCTTCTTCGTTTTTGTCACTAAGGAACATATCCGGGAATTCATACACCCCATAATACAATGCTGATGGACGGGACTTCCAAGGAATTCATACTTCTTAGAAATAGGACATCTGAATGAATAATTATACTTTTATACTCCTCAGTTGCCTAGACTTGAAGCACTGAATCTTCTCTGCATTATTTGACTGTGCTACTATTTTCAACGCCGCCCAGCCTTTATAATGATTAAAGACACTGACTGCCTAAAATAAGAGTCCGGGTTCGAATCCTGGAAAAGGCATGAATGATTGTCAGTGCCGCATGAGAGCAAATACACAGCGAGCGGGTTATGGTAGTGGACCCTCGTTTAAGAGATTCTCGGACTGCCCTTCGAAGTTTTCTCCCTCAAAAGTGAGGCCGAAGCTTAACAGTTATCTAGGTTCAGCAATACCTCAATCACCCGTGGTACTGAAAAAGGTACTAGCTTATCTTGTACCTGCACCAGTCACCAAACACTAAGTTTCCGCTATGATATCCATATGGCATATAAAACGCCGCTGCATTTGCCGTCGCGATCCATGCCTGTTTTAATTATTCCTCATTTATGTACGTTTATTTTTCCCATTCATATTTGAATTAATATCGTAATTCTGACCTCTGCAGTTCTGTAAGTCTAGGATGCTTTCTCTCACAAAATCAATCCTTAGTTTTGTAAGGTATTTTTCCCACCTTCCTAGCGTGCCAGCGTGGTGTAGTGGTTCTGCAGCTGGGCCGGTATTCCAGAGGTCCGTGTTTCGATTCCCGGCGAATGTGTTTGCTATTTCGCATCTTTCCAGCTTCCAAAAATAATAACCTAATATCTCTACAGTGGCGCCCGAACTAAAAGGATGTTGGAGGAGGATTGTCCACACCCAGGATTTGGCGGTTGGGTCCCCTAAAAACCCCAGTCGCTCTTTAAAAGGGGAATTATGTAAGACATTTCTCCCGCCTTCCTAGCGCGCCTTTGTGGTGCAGTGGTTCTCCACGCTGGGCCGGTATTTCAGAGGTCCGTGGTTCGATTCCCGGCAAAGGCGGTTGCTATTGTTTCACTTCTCCGGCCTCCAAGAAAAACCTAATATATCTACAGTTTATAGTATTTTGTAGCAAGTCAATAGCTAACAAAGTATTCTTTTATTGAATATCTTCTTTCATCTAAAAATCATGTTGTAAACGAAAGCTGGCCCATGACTCATACTTTATATTTTAGACTGGAGCCAGATAGACCTGGGGTATAGTCTCAAACAGGAATAAAATATTTTGCTGATATAAGCTTGGTTGAATTCCTGAATAAAATTTCTCATCACACTGATTATTTCTTTTTAGGTATTTTTAACTCAATAGCGAATGTAAGTTTCTTTAGACACAACCTTCTTTAGACTTTAGTGACTACATTTTCAATCACTCAGATTAAATTTTCAGTGTTTCTGAAAAATCTGATTGAGTTCAATCACTCAGATTGAATTCTGTTTCAAAATCTGATTGAATTCTATCACTCAGATGGAATTCAATCAGACTTTCCAAGAAGATCAACAAGATCTAAAACTTTCTCATTGTGTAACGAAACTATGAAGTTTATCTGAAAGCCAAATTCAGCTAAAATGCTGAGTGATACTTATTAAATGTTCTGAAACTTACGTCAATGCTCTCGTTCTTTTTTCCACTTTTACTGAATCTCCTTATAAGTTTATTAGTACATAATCGCAATGAGTTTTCAAACAATTTCAGGAGTCATTTCAGGTGCTGTACTGAATTTTCGTACAACTCATGATCACGAGTAATCAAGTGTTCGTGAGCATTTCCGTCATTAATTCTAGCTTTTTCTAACATTGACTTTCCCAGAAAGTCAAAAAGTCTGCAGAAGAAGCATTAAATCTTATTAGTGCTCTCTGAATAAATGAAACACCTTTTAATAAAATTATCATTATTTATTTTTACCGTACTCATGGTCCTAGAGAAACTATGGTTATTTGCATCTTTTGGAAATATGTACTGTTTAGTAGGATGTGGTCCAATCATAATGAAGCGATCACATTCATCTATTGATAATTCATTTGACAAGTGTGCTGGATCATTGCGGTGGACATTTTTTTTTTTGTTGGTTTTAAATGTACTCTTAATATTTCCAGTATTCCCGTCTGTTAGTGTGATACCTAAGTCCACGCCTTCAGAATAGCGTATCCTTCAAAAAGAGTATTTTAGAAAGTACTTAGAGTTCTTCAAAAAAGAAAAAGAGTACTTAGAATTCTTCAAAAACGAAAATAAGTACGTAGAATTCTTCAAAAAGTATAGTATTTTAGTGGGTTTGACCTAGCATTCGTTAGATGGTATAGCTGGACACATATTTGTAGCTGAGACATTGAGCCTGCATTGTTTTTCACTGTTTGACTTAGCATTAAAAAACCTGATATATTTGGGTGTTTCTTGGCAGCTTCTTCTTGTTAAGACGCCTTTTTCCGTTTTCAATGCGGATACTTTTTGGAGGCATTTTTCGGGTTTAGAAATAGGAAAAACGAAGTAAATCTAAGTTGCCAACAGAAAGAAAAAAAAAAAAAAAAAAAAACAACTACGGTGTATATCATTATAAAAGGTGAAAAACACACATAAAATCCCTCAATCCCCCCCCCCGAAAAAAAACAGTGAAGCGCTGATTCTAAGTTTTCCTTCGTCTAATGTTGTCATCAATACACTTTTTTATATAAAAGATCTGTATCTGAAAAAAATCTCATATGGACGCCAATTAAAATTACCACTTGCCAGTTATTTCTTAGCCATCGTACTTTATTTTATCTTACACACACACACACACACACATATATATATATATATATATATACATACGTGAGATACTGCCAACTGCAAAAAAAAAGGGAGGGATACAACGGAATATTATAACAGTCCCATGTACAAAATTTCAGCATTTTACGGCTAATCATTTTTCAATTATGCGAGATACATTCATGCATACGTACCCAC